GGGGTGTTTGTGTTTAAAAACCCCCCCCCCCCCCCCCCAAAATCCCACACCTGCATATACTGAATGCTCACAAGAGGGCAGCACTCTTTCGGCTTCCGGCCTCTCAGTACTTTGGTATTTCTTGCACAATTTCCTCTGTCTGGTAGGTCAGATGTAACGATCAGCGAATCATTTCAGGAAATGACCTTGTCAGGTTACAGTTTATTATCTATTAACCTTCTGTAGTGGCTGTCGTTACAGACAGACAAGTGTGTAGCAGAATCAATTGGGGTGGCTGGTCCAGGATGGTTGATGAGAGCTGGCAAAGTGTCCTCAAATGTTTGGCTCCTGTGTACTTCTCCCAGTGATGAAGGGATCTCCAGAGAGAAATCCTCTCCTCTCCCAGGCTGTTTAAAATTGATGCTGTCAGTCCCCCATGCAAGGCTAATTGAAAACTTTGCCGCTGCACTGTTTGGGAGAGTAGTGGGTCACTGCTTGAAAAAGCAGCACGTGAAACCCCCCCGAGTGAACTCCAGCATCACCCCAACAGTGTCAGGTCTTGGCAGGACCTATCACCCTCATGATTTCTTGCCCCACATTTACAACTGAAGCTTCCCTGCAGGATGCCTTTCCGCCCCTTGCTCTCGTGGCATGTCTTAGTGGAAGAAAAGCCCTGCTGTGTACTCGTAAAGCCCCAGTTCTCCCCTCGCCCCTGAGACTGAGACACTCAGTCCATAACAGAAGGTTTATTCAGTGCCAAGAAGTTCAGCGTGACCTACTCAATAGGATATTTGGAAATGCAAAGTTTTGCACAGTGCAACTCCTGAGAGTTGCATTCTGCCCGGTGTGTACCACACCGCGTGAAGAATTGGTCTTTTTAAATCCAGAAGCTTAGTGAAAAACAAACACCCTGCTTAGTAACTGCTCTGTTCCCATTTTACACCCCCCACTGCCTCTTTTCCTTTGCCTGACTCTGAAAAGGGGACTGTGTAGGATTAGTACCTTTTTACTTAATAGGCTGCTTCCTGTGTAGGTACAGTATTTACAGAAATTAGATGTGCTCATGTCACTGATTCTAATACGTGTTGAATAACTTTGATTCCTGTTCCCTGTAGAATCAGTGCCATTCAGTACAGCTGAAGGGAGGAAACCAAAAAAAAAGTCTCTCCCAGGTTGGCAGGTCTAGGGATGTCCCTGGCAGGGGACCCCACCACAGATTGGGAGGCTGTGGACAGCTAATACTTTATGGCAGTGGCTCCCAAACTCGGACTTTATGGCATTTATTATCTTTCCTGAGTTGTGCAGGTCTGGTAGGAGGGGATCCCAGGACCTGAGAGAGGATCTGCTATCAAACCAGAAGGAAACTTGCCAGTCGTTGACTGCCTTTTGTTATTAGGCAGTGTAACTGCACTGTAACTTCATCAAAGTCCATGGGGACGTTCTGTTTTTTACACCAGCATAAATGAATAGAGAGTCTGTCCTACAGTCCTTGTTTTCTTCAGCTGTAGTTTTTGGGTTTTTTGGGGTTTTTTTTAAAGATGTGCTTGGAAACCAAGTCTCATCTTGGAGCAGGAGAGTATGACAGGGAATGAAAGCTATATCCACTTCCGTGCTGGACTTCTTCACAGAACGCCCCATGAGTGCAGCAGCGTTAGAAATGCATGTAATTCAGTCACCTGGTCAGTATTGGAAAGCAGCAGAGCCAGGGACTTGGTGGGCCACTTTTACGGTGTGTGAAATTTGGGGCCTAAAAAAAGCATGTCACTTTAAAAAACATAAAAGGCCTAAAAATGCCTGATTTGACCTGAGTAGGTAGCTCGACCTACTGGGTAAAATCCCCAGCAAACGGAAGTGTGAAGTTTATATCTTTTGAAATGCAGAGAAAAGTTTGTCTTCAGCTAAGAAACAAGAATCTTACAGCACAGCGGTGCTCTCTCACGCTGAATCATCCATGGCTCCAGGCTGTGTCATATTCCATTTACCTCCACGAGAGGATGCCAGAGTTTCTCTGCCTTGCGTTTCAATCCTTGGGATTTACTGATGTCATTGGTTCCTGAGTGGAAACGAAAAGGAGTGCATGCAGGCTAATATTTGGTGTAGGAATACTTAAGCACTTGAACACAGATGCATGTTCGGACAAGTTATTTTTCTGTTGCTCTTGCAGATCCTAGTTCCAGCAGGTGGATCTTATTACTCATGAAGAAAAAAAGGACAGTTTCTGATCTCATGTATTAAACTGTCCCTTTTTCTTCATGATTCTGATCTCTTGTACAGTGGGAGCCCAGCTGAGCTCCAAGGGACTTTATTGAGCTACCCTCAACCTACACTAACATAGCCGGGAAGATAATACAAGTGCCCAAACTAGGCTCAAAATAGATGGGAACTGGTGTAAGCTAAGGCCCTGCTCTTGCTTCCATTGCAGTGAACTGGGCGTTTGCTTGATGTCTTCTATAAGAATAGGATCCAGACTAAATAGAGAACGGTGCTCAGCACTGGGCATCTCCTCTGCATTGGTGAACTCCTTCTCCTTACGCTGTTGAGATAGGACCCGGTTCCACTCCTGAGGTTTAGCTGGGCAGGGAAGCTATGGCAGGCCACTAAAGTGTGATAACTACGTGCTCAAGTTAAAGCACGGTGGTGAAGCCGTCCTTCAGAAGCCTTTAATGCGCTGCTG